ATGTAAAGCACTTTGCATTGTCTTTGTACTGAATTGTGCTATACAAATAAATTTGCCTTGCCTTGCCTATATTTTTTTAACTCGGTAGAAAAAAAACGACTGTGAGTGTCACGGTCTTAGTTCTGTTAAGTTTTCCTTTGAGTATTCAGTTTTACTTTGATCAATGTTTCCTAGTTTTATTGGTTTAATTCCTATTTTGTTGTGTTTACTGGCTATATTTGAGTTCTTAGGTTTTTCCTTGTTGCCCTCTTGTGTTTGTCTCCTTTTCCTTAGCTCCCTTCTAGAATCCTCTCTTTACATCTGTTCCTAATCAGCTCATTAGTTCTGTCTTTGTTCAGTCTCCCCTATAAACTCTCCCTGTGCAGTTCCTCAGTGCTGGTTCCTCGTCTTTCCTCATCTTTCCTTGGCTCCTCGTGCATGTTTTCCTCGATGACTCCATGGTTCTGGTTTGTTTGCATTTTTGTGTTGGGTTTTTGGATTCCTGCCTCTCTTATCAGTAGGGAACTCCATTCAAACTACAAGAACTCACCTCTACCTCATGGCCTCTCCTTTTCTAATTGGTCTTATGTAATGTTCTAATCATAAATATTGTGTTTTGATTAGCTGTAAGCTAAAAAAAACATCATAATAAACAAAAGCAAAGCCTTGAAATCATCTGTCTCAGTATAAGTCTGTATAAAATATATTATTTTGTCAGCTAAGTCACTGAAATACATTAACTTAGAGTTTTCAAGCATGTAATTGGCACCAATTATGTTAACATTAATATAATATCACCGGCTGACAAAACATAAATGAACTGTATCTTTATAGAGAAGTCAAGAGCATTATTGGGACATCTGTCATTGAAGATAAAAACCCTTTGCGATTTTTTGCTTTAACACAGGCTAGTATTAGCAATGTAGCGCAGAAGGGAATTGCTTCAAAGATTGTGTAATTGCTTGTGATTTATTGTTTACATTAAATCACTTGTTATTAGTTGAGAAAAGAATTTTAGGCTAATTGTTTTGAAATTGTCTTTTATTTTTTTAACACTAGAGGCTTGTTTTTTGGACAGTAGGCTAACAGAAGAGGGTGAGACATGTGCCAAAGGACCATAGGTCAGAATTGAACCCGGGTCGTCCACATTTCGCCTCCGTACATGGGTCGGTGCACTAACCTTTGCGCCACCCTGACATTTTTAGATTAGTTACAACATGACTTTGTTTCATCAAAGGGTGACACTGTATATTACCAGTGTTTTCAGCAGCAAAATGTTGAAAACTGATTGAACATGTTGAATCTTGAATAGCAGAGGGTACAGATTAGCAGAATAGGATCCGTTTCAAACCCACCTTCTGGCTAATCGGGACCCAAACTGATTGGACCCAACATTTATAAATTACAGCATGTTGTCTGACGATAGTGTCTAACTTCAGTTGCGCCGCTTTTCCTGTTAATATGTAAAGCCCTGCGGAGCATCCGGGACCAGGCTACATGTGATACAAATGATCCAATGAGCTGCTGTCAATCTGGGTTGCTGCTGCTGCTACTTTTAGACACAGCAGGCAAACCTGTGGCAAGCTGGGCGATGGGAAAGAAGGAGAAGACGATGAGAAAAAGAGAGCAGAGAAAGTGTGGACTGCTCGAAGAACCATGGTGAACTGGTGAAAGAAAAGTGAAATGTTGTGCTCAAGGAAGACCCTGCACATTGTTAGTATGTTTGGCTGTACTACTGTTCTACTGCTGTGAAGCAGGATTCTCCATCATGAAAATAATCAAAAATAAATATCGATTAAGGCTCAAAATGAGCACCTTGATAAGTGCTTTAGAATGGCTTTGTCTCCATTCAAACCCAGGTTTAAAGCCTTGCAGGGCAGAATAAAGCCCACTGCTCTCATTAAGAAAGAAAAAAAAGAGAGAAAAAAACCAAAACAAACTATCAGTTCAGCTGTTTTATAAATATTTAAATCGGGAAATTGTCTATACAAGAAACTGAGCGATTGTTGTTCTCTGCTTCAAAAAACACTTTAGATTTTAAAATGGAAACATTTTCTATATTTTTTTAATATCTTTTTTTATTTAAAAAGTCAATATATATAACATGGATGCATAAAAACCTAATTTTATTTCCATGTTACTGTAAATGCTGTTTGGATTGTAAAAATGTCTGGTTGATGATTTTCTTTATTCAGACCCCACTACCCCTGCTGTATATCATAAGCTTGTGAAATTATTATGTTAATTATTATGTTATTTCACATGGAAGTGAAAGCTAAAGCAAAAAGGTGCTGATGTTAAAACCAGTGGACATAAACCTCCACTTATTTCTAAGCATGTTTGGGAGCTAAAGCTTGTTTTTATTGTTTACAGTCAACAAACTTAGATAGGAAGGTGAAAAATATTAGTGTGGTATTTATTAACAAAAGTATTATGGCCTTTTAGAGTGTCAACTAAATTAATTCAGCTTCAGTCAGTCTCCAAAGAATTTGAAGAAGCTTTCTGAGTCATCTCTATTCTCATAAGTGGATATGCTTCTAAGAAGTGCCTTGATAAAGCAAACAGGGCGGACATAATATAAAGTAGACTATAGAGACTGCAGTGATTCTTTTATAGACTGTTTGATCAGGAATGTTTTAAGGACTCCTGTTTATAGACAGTTTTGTAGCATTGGTCTGGCATGCAGAAATGAGTTTTCAGCAGCAAACAGAACACTGGCCCATCATCAAGATGTAGAAAATGTTTAACTTTGCTGACAAAGAGGTTAAGCTTGGCATTTTTCACTTAGTATTAGGAGACTGGATAGTTTTCTTAGATCTCTACTCAGACATATATCAGATCTGAAAATCAACACAGACTGCCTTTTGCTTTGACAACACATTAGTTTACAATCTTATAAAGAAAAACGGAAATTGAAAACGCTCCTATCAATTTAATAGTTTGATGTTTGTACTTTCAAAAGATGTCTTTCAACATTTTATTGTATATTTCCTTCGAAAAACAATTTTTGGGTAATTTTTGAAGTGTGTTCTATTATGTATTCCTCAAGGTTTCTGGATGTATTTATTTTATCTCATTTTCAGTCCAATTACCATTTTCAAAGATGTGTCTAATTTGTTTGTTAGGCTGCAGTTCTTTGACCTTTTCAGTGTGTAACAAATATAAAAAAGCTTAAAACTTGGGAGGTTTGACAGAGAACAGAATTTTTTAACAAAGAACCAATTTAAGAAAGAATCTATAAGCACTTTTTTCTAGCAGGTTGTCACAAGAATGTATTTTGTTAACATTTCTTAAGTTAAATCTTTAAAAACTACCAACAAGGTGACTCCTTAGGGGCAATCGGCAGAAAACATGACATAGAGGTGACGATAAACTGAAGGATAATGACTCTCTAAGGTCGTAAGTAAAGGTCTACCTTGGTTTGTTTTTAGTGTGTTAAATAAAATACTTTGTTATGGACTTTTTGTCTGGCCTCACTCGCCTGTGTTGGTCCTTTGCTCTTTTATATATATTTTAGCAAACACAACAAAATGTATTTTCCCTATCCACTTTGCAGAAACACTTTTAGGATTACAAACAAACCTGGAGCTTTGGAATAAAAGTGAGTATTTACTTGATGCATCTTAGGTCAAACACCTTAATATCGAAAGTTACAAGCTCTCTGCAATGATGTCTTCCAGCTTTATCACTAACGCTTTAAGTTACAAGAGAAAGGTAAATTCTTATGACTTACTGAAAAGTCTGCATCCTCTGCCTTGAGATGATCTGCAATGTACTGAACTCCCTCTATGGCTTGTTGCACAGCGGGGGATATTGCTGGAATCTGAGTATCTTGTTGGGTGCTTGCTTCTTTGGTGGACACTGCTGTTGCCGTTTTGGTCAAGTGTTCTTCAGAAACCATTTCTTGTACCTGCCTGGGGCTCCCCAAAACACCATCATTGTGGAAACAGCGGTATTTGAAGCTCTGTGAGCGACAAATATGTTCAGATCTCGGTGAAACCTGCTCATGCTGGTTGCACATCTGCTCTGCACTTTGGGAACGGCCATTTAAAGCCAGAGTACTCGGCTGTTCACTAGACAAGTTGTGAAGTGAGCCCAGGGGCAGAGTTGGAGGCAGTGATAACTGAGAGGCACACATGGTTGCAGAGTTGTATCCACGTAGGGAATGCTTTTCTGTGAGGACAGAGTATTTGGCAGAGGCGGATCTATGGAAAATGTTAGCACTCAATGGATGATCTTTACTGCGGTCAACTTGAGGGGAAGAAGGTGGAGAAGGTGAGCACACAAGGATTCTAGGGCTGTCATGTGGAGTTTTTGCCTGTGTCATCTGTCTTAGCTCTGTGTCCAGTCCGACCCAAAAAGCCTGTGAGTTGTTTGTTGTGGAAATCACTGTTGGGCGATGCATCATTTCAATCAGCTTCTTGCAGTGTTGTTTCGCTGTGCCCGGTGGACGTTTCATGAAAAGAAAACGTGGCACCAAATCCAAGAAAACCCTACGCACCCACTGAGGCATGCCATGAGTCTTTGGTGACCTGTGATGCACATTTAACACAAAGACTGTGATTATGATGGAGAGTGTGACAAAAACCATGGTGAAGAGGAGGTATTCACCAATCAGGGGGATCACCAGGGATGTGGATGGTATAATCTCTGTAATTAGCAGGAGAAACACTGTTAGGGACAGTAGAACTGATATACATAAGGTGATCTTCTCTCCACACTGGGACGGTAAATAGAAGACAAGAACCGTCAAGCAGGAGATAAGCAGACAGGGGATAATCAGGTTTATGGTGTAGAATAAAGGAAGCCTCCGAATGATGAAGTAGTAAGTGATGTCGGCATAGATTTCTGCACAACACTCGTATTTTTTTGTGTTGTACTTGCCCACTGCATTGACAATGACCCACTCGCCACTCTCCCAGTAGTCCATCTGGTCAACGTCACTTGCCATGCTGATCAGATCGATCTTGGCACGATCGTAGGTCCAGGAACCAAATTTCATCTTGCAGCTTTGTTGGTCGAAGGGAAAAAAAGTCACGTCTATGCTGCAAGATGACTTATAAATGGCAGGCGGCGTCCACTTGATGTGACCATCATAGAACAGGTGAGCTTTTGTAAGGTGAGTTACAGCAAAGTCGCCATCGGCACTAAAAAAGAGAGAGGCATAATAGAAGGAAACGTGGGGAGTTTAGTTTACATTTTTTCTATTGTTAACCTAATGCTTGTGAAATCAATGGAATGACATATTTTATGGTTGGGTAAGGTCTCATAAATATACTTGATTTCTTTATGATACACATATAACGAACGTGAATAGCTAAAGGTTTTATTTGTAAGAATATTCGAGTATATTCAACTAGTATGGATAAGTCATTACCAAATGATTGTAAAAGTTTATTTTTAGGCCAATTTTTATGATTTTCCCTTTGATCTTTCTGAGCAACAGCTGCTCAGAGCTCCTTTCTTTTAATCATCTCCCTCTAGTTAATTTGGCTAATCTCTTTGTGGACACTAAAGCTTTCATTTCATTTTAGATCTCCCCTCACACACCTGAGCACCACATCATTTGAGTACATACTGAATCTGAAATACAGTAGTCTGAGATCAACAAGACATCCGTAATCTTATTATGCTTTCCTTAATAGCTTTTGTAGCTTGAAGAAAAGATCCTGTTTGAAATGAAATCAGAATAAATCTTCCCTGTTTAGGTCATTAAAGATTACTTATATCTTTTCACTGAGTGGCAAAATACTAAGAGGGATCTTTATTTTTTCTCTATTTTTCATATTCAGAATTAAATTTTTCAAATCCTCTAGGATACCTTTCATAAGGGATCAGGTGTTTTGGCTCATTCCTCTAAACAGAACTTATCTAACTGCAAAGGTTTATAAGCTGTCTTGTTCAAACACATCAGCAAAGCTTTAAAAAAAAAAGGACCAAAAACAACAGACACATGTCCAAAAATGTAAGGACAAAAAGAAAAAAGTAGCCAAAAAAATAACGAGGAAAGGAAAGTAAAAACAACAAAAAAAACTACTGCACAAAAGAAACCAACCCCGGCCACCCCGACACATCCAAGCTCTAGTTATACTCCAGCAGCAGTGTGTTGCAGTGAGCATTTCGCAGATATTTTTGATTTATGCCCAATATTGAAGCATGGTCTGTGCTAAGTTTATTCCATGCCACAACCCAAGAGGGACAATCGCGAACTAGCTGTGGGTCTAGATATGGCCGAGGCGGTGAGGAAGTGGGGAAAAGTTTGTGCTATAATGGAGGGACATGAAGGAGGAAAAGAGCGTGGACCCAGGTGGAAAAAGGGTCCCAGCATTCTCACTCTCCCTGCTCTTCAAGTTGGTCTATCTTCACGAGTCGTTTTCAACAATGGCGGGCATACAAACAAATCTAGCCGGTAAGGTAACAAACAGGAAAAACGCTTAGTGTAGAGCGGATATAGATTTGACCAATCAGAGGCCTCCTGTGCGCGGTACTGTCTGCGGTCACCTACATTTTGGGAGAGGTGCACCAGAGTGTCTGCAGAAGAAGGGGCCACATTTACGTTCACTGCAACACAAGCAGACGACCTGGTTTCTGAGTATAAATCAGCCTTTACAAGGGGAGTTGTTCGTGTAAGACTCAATACTCTCCAGTTCAAAGCAGATTGGACCAATCATGATGCAAGAGGTGGGCCCATAATGTAACGCTCAAAGGTATAATGGAGGATTTTTGTTATTTTTTTTAAAAGACAACCCCTTACCAACTCCCAAGAGGAAATGCTTATTAAACGCGTGCGAGTCCATTTCTCCTCATGCACGCTCTGTTTAAAAGTTGCTGTTTGAATCGCTCATACAAGCTTACTTTCCAAAAGAAGATTTGCAATTTTTCCACTATGTCAGACTCACCACCTGTAAGTGAAAATGGGGATGAGCACATAGGACGGCCATGCATAGACACATCACCAGAATGATTGACAATTAGGAAGATCATTTATTTTGATGATCCACTCTGAAAAGAACATCCATTATACCTTTAAGACTAAAGCTGCAACCAATTTTTTTTAAATTACCTTTATTATGTCATAAAAGAAAATTATAAATTCACATCAGTCATTCAAATAACACAAAACTGAAAAAGTTTATAATAAATAAAAATGTACTGAATGATAATTTAGAAAATTTAAAATATAAATTTTCGTAAAAAAAAAAAATTCTAAAAACGAAAAACATTCTTGACAAATTAAAGTACCTTGCTCATAGCCAGTGGACCAACATACCTGTCAACAGGTTCAGAAGTTTAACTGAACATTTCTTACTGAACCTCTTACATGATATCATGACGAATACTGATCTTGATGTACACTATGTTCTGATTTACAGAAGGCAAGACAAAATTCTCTGATTTTGCTAATTCCACCTGATCTCAAAACAGGAGACATTTTAGAAGGCTTAATCCCAGATAGAGGGGAAAAAATGTCAATTTCAACTGCAGTTTCTGATTTCAACAAAGCATTTGCACTGAAATTTGTATCAGATACTCCTGTTCTTTAAAGAGTCTATATAAGGGCTCAGCAAGCTTTAAAAGGCTTATAGGTCCTTCATGGGTTCTAAACCTTAAGGAGAGTTGCCAGTACTGACCTATGAACTCGAGGAGTTTGTATTCCACCTAAACTTCACGCATAAACAACATATTTTTAATATTTCTTTTACTTTCTAAATGTATTTAAGATATTGTCATTTTGAGGCCTCTATAAATGCACGTGTGATTAAAACTGAAGTGCAACAGAATAAAATTAAAGTTCAAACTTTGCCCAATAGTGAGTTGTGCTGTGCAGAGGGCACCTCACGAGGTCCTTGAGGGCCCCTTGGTGTCCTCAGGCCCCACGGTGGTGACCACTGGTCTATATCATGTAAAATCCACTTATTTGAGCTTTTAAATTATAATACTATTCTACTATCTTATAATTCTATCCCTTTATCAGAATCATGCACAAAGTGGTATTTAGTTCCATTAATGCATCTTTCAGTAAAAGGTTTTGCTGTCTGAGCAGCAGCCCCTCCCTCACCTGTGGAAAGTGAGCAGTTTGAAGGTGTCTACATAGAATGAGGCTCCCTTCAGTAAACATTTGCCTTAACTGCCCTGTGCCCACAATGTAAACAAACTCCTCAAAATCTGTTTTCTGGCCTCGTTCTTAGATTTTGTTCAGCCTTTCGTAGAAGTATGATATGGTGACGACATGAAATACGAAACACACAGAGAAGTGACGTTGCTTAAAAGGCAATTGTTTTTCTTTGGGGTCAGAAGAAAATTATGTTTTTATAACAAATGAATAACCTAATGTAGTTTGGTTTTTTAAATGCTTAAAAATCAAGATATGGAACCTTTAATATGTAGATCTGTGCAGAGACGGTTAAAGTAACAAAAAAAGATTATTCTCAAGTAAAAGTAGCACTATGGCAACATATTTCTCCTTGAAGAGAAGAGAAATTCCTCAAGTCGGAGAAAAAAATAGGATTTACTGTAGTGAAAAGCTACTTAAGTATTGAGAAACTATTCACTCTTTTAACTGATGTAAATCAGAGATACCATAATTAAAAGTTATCCGTATATTCCTTTGGTTTTAAAAGACTAAAGTAGAGTTAAAAATATACATAAAAACGAAAAAAAAAAATAATAAAACTATTAGAAGAAAATTTAAAATCAATTTTAAAAAAAATTAAAGCATATGAAACCATTTATTATTGCATATAAGGTATGTATGAAGGAATATTATGTCCAGTGACAAAAAAAAGTAACATTAAAACAACAAAGATTGTGCTTTGCTGCATTTTAGGTTAAAATGTGCTTGTTCTTTATTAAGTGAAACAAAGTTATAGCTTTATATTCTTACTAAAATAGTCTGCAGGTTATAAAATGCATCTGTTTAAAAATAATCTGGTCATCATGCCTTATGCCAACTCCAAATTTTGTTTCTAATGCAGCTTTTCAAATGTTTTTAACCTCTCTGATTTTGAGCCAAAACACGTTTTACAGCAATCTCACTGCAGAATAATATCCACTGCCCCTTCAGACTGAGCCAGTTACATTTTATCATTACTCCTAACTACATGTATTACTTTCTGTGATTTGGAAATTTCTTCATTAGCTTTTCCATTAAGGCTGACCCAGTTAACGTTTTCATCCAGATTATTACTTTATGAAATGAGCACAAGACAAAGAAACAGGTTCATCATCTTTTCCCTTCACCTACGCCATCTGTTGGAGTGCTTTAAGAGAAGAAATGTAACCTAAATTATTAAAACAGATCCTTACTTGTTATAAAGGACAATATCAGGTCTCCAGATGATCTCAGAGGGAATACGTATAGAGGTGACATTTTCATATTCCTCTGGGTTCCAGCGGAGTTTGTAATCATTCCATTCCTGCAGTAAAATATAAGTTATCATCATGTACTGTAGCTCTTTATCAGAATACCTGATAGAATACGCATACCTGCTTAACCCAGACGTTTGTTGTCATCATCTGGTTCTTCTCATCCTAACAGATGGAAAAGCAAATGTTAAAACTTCCTCCCAAATAAACACATCAACCTGCAGATGTAGAAGTCTACTATATAACACACCAACAATAAAAAAAATATCAGCTTCCTGTAAAAACACCCCGTTAGTTTTCTGCAAGCTGCTCCCTTTAGGCTTTCCTTAACAGCATCTAAGACAAGGCAGTCGGCAGATAGAGTCCACAGGAAAAGACAACTTCAGCTGGAGTTGACACTCATAACCAAGCATTTGGAGGAAACACTGTCAACTAACCGAATGTCAAAACAAATTGTAATTTTTTTCCAAAAGTGAGGCTAGCTGCACAATCTATAAGGTTCTTCAGCTAAGTTTGAGAGGATGCTTCATTCCTATTGAAAACAAACCTGCATCTGTTGGAAACCATGAGGAAAAGCATGAATAAAGATGTTCTGGTAAGATTTTATATTTCTGGATATCTGTTTGGATGACAGCTCTGAATGTGTTCTGCATGTGTTTGCATATCTGATGATTGAATTTAATTTGAGGGAAAATAACAGAATCTCTTTTGTTGGGGTTTCATTTCCTCTGATAAGCAATCTTTTTCAAAATGTGTTTACATGCTTGATGAAGGTTTGAGCCAGCCATAATGAATCTAGATAAACCGAGGGAGTAGGATGGAAAACACACATTAATGCTGCACAAGAACATAATGACAAACCATAAACCCCCCATTTACAGATAGCACCGATCTGTTGAGTAGTGATGGAGTTCTGAAATGTGTTAACAGCACAGCTGAACAGTACAGTTGAGCCAATGTGACAATTCATGAATTTATTTGAAGTTTCTAGACAGTTAAGTTACAGCCCAAGACCTCTATGTTTTCTAAGGTTTCCTTTATTTATTATGATAGACCAAGGCAGAGCACTAATAGATACTATAGCACCAAACCAATGCCATTGCCCGACACTGATACTGAAAACCGAGACCTGCAGGAGCAGCAGAGACCGATACCAAAAAAAAAAAACCGGTAGAAAATGAAGGGGGGGGCGAAAAAACGAAAAACTACATACAACTAGAATAAAAAACAACAGCCATCAGGCAAGCGGCAACCTACCGCCGGAAACAAGAAAAAAAACAAAAAAAAAGGAAACCAAGAAAAACTTTTAATGCCCAACCGGAAAGGGGGAAAAAAAGTGAAAAAAATGGTGGCCCCCAAAAAGGGAACCAGGCCCCAATTTGTGGGAACTGGCAAAAACAAAAACAACAATTCAAGGGTGGAACCGGAACCCCCAATACTGGTATTGGTGCAACATTACTAATGGGGAGGAAGGATGTAAAGTATTTTTTACACCCCCAAATAAAAACCAGTGCAACAAGTTACTGTCAGAGTTCATCTGTTGGTAACTTGATCTCAGTATAAATTCAGCTGTTGTGTGAAGACCTCTATGAAAAACATCAGTGAACAGATAGATTCATGGAAAGCAAGAAACATGAAGTGTTGGAAAGCTTTTAACATCTTGAAAGAAATGTTTAAACATGGGGCACATTTCGGTTCATTGTTATCTTTGAATGAAGTCTATAGCATACTGTTACCTACCTACAACTATTAAAGTTGACAGGCCAGAAAGTGAGACTTTTTCTTTTTTTTATTAGAGATGCAGCTAAGAGGCCTATGGTGACTTTGGAGGAGCTGCAGAGCTCCACAGCTGCAGTGAAACAATTAGTCAATAGGACAGTTATTAGCTCCACAAAAATCATATTGTAAAGTAGGGGACCATAGTACTTCCAGAGGGGAGTACTATGGTCTAATTAGTTCAATACTTTCATTTTAAAGTTGTAGGGAAGCTAATCTGAGAAATTACTCTGAAGACACAGCCATCGCTTCAAGGGAACGGTTTAGATTAAAGCATATTTATGTTAGCGCAAAAAATTCAAAGTCTAGATTGAGAAAGAGTGGCAAGACTAAAACACCCAAGAGGCACATGTAATTGAAACAACATATGGCTGTACAAAGAACTAAATTGGGGGAGGGGAATAAAAATCCATGCATTTATGCATGCATTCATAAATCTTGCATTCATTTAGGTTTAATACAAAAAAAAATCCTGGTGTTCTTTTTTTTCTCCACTTCCCAATTCAGCACTGGTATTAGCCTATTACATAAAACACAGTGAAGATAGTTGAATAAAGTCAGAATGAAAATTTAAATCATAATGCAAAGAATGTCTAGTTAGAATGTAAAAAATAAAGAACTTTTTTAAAGGAACTTTAATTATGACCTTTCGGACTGTTTGCTAATGAACCCTAAGGAGGATGTGAGGTTTTACTCACCACATCAATTAGCTGGGCAATAGAAAGCCCAAAGTGGACCAGCACTGTGTCTGAAGTGTTTTGCACAGGCCGGGAGAGCTTATTGTAATGCGCAAACAAATTCTGAAGTAGCCTCTCTTCAGCATGGGCCCGAGGTCCAACCTGAGAACACACTAAGAGAAGAGAAAAACACATTAGACATTAATAAGGAGATATTCAGTTTCATTACCATACATGTATACGTTTCTGGAAAATGTTGCTTTGTCTTGCTGTTTTTATTTCTGTGCTTGAAATAGACCTATCTCACATTGACTCAAATACATATTGCTTCCATTTATAGTACATCCATCCTTTAAATTCAGCTGATGCGGCTCTATCAAAGAATACAGAGTGTAATGTGAATGTGGGGTGACCTCTATTATACAGGTGGCATATGGTTACACAAGACAGTAACTGAGAGATGAGACAAAGGGAGGCGGGCAGCAGAGCGGCTGGAAAAGGAAAAGCAGGAGGATAAATCTGAACTGAAGTCGAGACATCTCATGATGGCCCCTTCTTCCACCCCCATTTCATTTCATTGGAAGTTATTTGATTTTTGTGGCGGCCATCACTAATATTTCATTATGTCTCCACAAAGTAAATTTTTCAATGTCTTGTCTTTTTTTATTTGAACTGATACATTATAACCTGAGTTGAAACTCAGAGAGATGATAAAGGAAGGAAAGCCTACTTTGCTAAAAATGTATTTACATTCCTTTACTTTACTCACTTTTGGTGACTTTAAAGATATAATTTAAACCTATCTAACTATATGGTTTTCTAAAAGATCTAGATCAAACAACCTATTAGAAAAACATGCGTCATAGATGTCAAAAACTTGTCAATTAAATTTTCAATAATTCCAAACTGTGGCTTATTTTTTGAAGAACTCTGGCCTTGGATATGTCTCTATAAACATGCTAAGCTTGTTCTTGAGTATATTTCTCTAATTGTCTCTGAATGGCTAGTATCAAAAGACCATTTTAACAATATACAGTGAGTTAAATACAATTTAATTCTTGATTCAGATTAGGGAAAGAAAGGCATTAACTGCCAGTTCCTTCGCTGTGTGCTTTCTGATCATTTTTGTGTTGGAACAAGAATAATTTTGAGGTCCACAGTATCTGGAGACAGTTTACTTGAAAAATCTGCGTCATCTCAAATTAAAATTGCAAGTTACCCAGAATTAGTTGGGTAACTTTCCACATTTATGCATGAACACATGAATTTATTTATTTTTTAACCTTTTTGGCTAAAAATACATTATTTCGTTCAATCACACTCTTGAAACACCGCAGGAAATGATGTTTTTTTTAAATGCAATTCAAGCAAATCATTTAATAATGAAGTTACCAGTTGTTAACTGATAATATTAAACTGTCAATTATAATCATTAAAAGCTGATAGCTGTTAATCAAATTATTTAAAAACATATATTGTAGGGGATGATTTTTTTATTAGAATGATAAATTACATTATTGAATATATGTAAACATTTCAATCAGTATTAATTTCAATGATCACGTAAGAACAACTGCACAACTGTATTAAATTAAAGAAGTTATAATGGTTACATCTACTGGCTGTTCAATCCAATCCAATAGTTTAATGTTTGAAATTAATTTCAATTAACAATTAATTAAGTTTTAATTTCCTAAATCTTAATTTATTTAAATAATCACAATTCTAATTTCTTTTTTCTTTTTGAAAAAGTCAGCAATTTTTGTACTGCATCTACCACCACTGTTATGATTCAGACCAGTTGTGCAGATCTATAGCGTAAGAACTTTTAATAACTGTTGAAGATTCAAGAAAATACATGTATGGTGGCACCATTTGTAACAATAAAGATTAGGGCTGCAACTAACAATTATTTTGCTAGTTGATTATCTGTCATTTTTTTTTTTTATGAATCAATTATCAATTGGATAGCAAAAAGGTTTCTTAAAGAAGATTTTGTACAGACTTAAACCAGATGAAATTAAAATATCACAAGAGAAATTCATAGAGCATGTTGATGGAAAAATGGGTTTTTCATCTTACAAGTAAACTGTTAATATTTTTTTATAGTGTTTCTGGTATATACTATATTCTATGGTATATACTATATACTATACAATCGAAATCCAAAAATATTAAGCACACTAATTTTTCTGTTTTTGATAGCTATAGAAATTAGATACAATTTGCTAGTAAAATTTCGCTTTTTTGGGGCTAAATTCTATGGGTTGTTTTTTTTTTTTCAGGGTTAATCTCTTAGGGGCTTTTTGGCCAAGTTTAAAAAGGCTGCTATATGCCCATTAGAGGAGTGAGCTTCCATCTTGTCACCATAAAGATAGTCTAGCATAGGTAAGCAATGGTTGACCTTCTGGATGGTTAACCTGTCTCCAGAGTAAATCAGTGGAGGAAATTGATTTTTGCCTTCAGTGGATTGTTGGTTGTGATTACATATTTCATGCTAGGGAGGGTTATAGTAGATCAAAGTTCCTTTATTCCTAAATATAGAGCAACATAGAGCTTTCCAGTTTTTCTCCCCCTAGATATATCCCTCTACACAAGGACATCATGTTAAAGTGGTCTGCAAACAATTCATTGAGTTTATTGCTTAGTGCCCACTCTGAAATGTGCTGTCAACAGGGACCCCCTCATTCCCACTCACTGCATCATCCGTGCTTTTTTACCCTTTGCTGCAAACTGAAACCATTTTAGTCTCTCCAGTAATTCCTACAGGATTTGTGGTGCTGTGGCATGATGGACAGCCATCCTACTGATCCAGAACTACAGATCAAGTCTTTGTTTGACAGTGTAAAGAGTGGACATGGAACAAAGTCATCATGAAGCTCACCTGAGACATTGTACTATAGAAAAATGCACATATAAATGTTTTTAGTTTCTTTGTACCAGTAGGCTCAGTAGGTTATCACCGAGTGAATCCTAATCCTAACCCTAAATTAATTCCTTTCCCCCAGCGGATTTAATCAATTTATGTGCAATCTGAAAATATATTAGAATATAATATAATATTGAAAAACTAAAAACAAATGAATCTCATATCAACTGGGTTTTAGAATCCTCTCCCTATAAATATTTAACTCTGTGTGAAAAAATGACGATCATTCTTTAATAGGATACTCATCTAACTGACATGCAATCTTTGTTTTTAAACCTAACGAACCTAGAGAACAATTTTATTGTTGCTGTTATTTTATGCACGAACTATGACAAAAACCGGACTAAATCACAAAATAAAACAGCGTGATTGGATGTAAGGAGAGTGGAGACAGAGGAAACTCTATGTAATACGTATTACTAAGTATGCTGAGTTGACAGAACACTGGACAAAATAGCAAATAGTTATCCCACGTCAATTACTTTCTTGTGATTGGCTTATGTAGGGAGCTCTGTGATTGGTTGCAAACCATCCCCTGTATGAAAAAAAAAATGATTGTGTATTGGGGTATTAGGAGAGTCTCAAAATCCACACTCAAAAATTCAGTAAGTTTAAAAACCACTGGTACTTTGTAATTTAATTTATAAATGTTTATGGATTAGAAATACTTTGGCGAATCATGTACTGCGCATGTATTAATCTTGTATGCTTGCATGAATCATGCTGTGCGTGTGTGGAGCTTGTCCTGTGTGCGTGATTTTTTTTGCGCTTGCGTGAATAGAGCTGTGTGTGTGTGTGTGTGTGTGTGTGTGTGTGTGTGTGTAGCTTTTCCTGTGCAGGTATGAATCACGCTATTGAGATTTAGCTCCAAAATTTTGAGATGTTGACTTTTTGGGGGAGACAGCTTTGCAAAATATTTGAAAATGTCAGCATTAGATGTTATTTGGACAGATCGTTTTGAATAAATATAATGCCATGTCAGTTTTAATTTAAAGAGAAAGAAAAAAAACACACACACACAAATGTGAGAAAGTGAACAGATAAACAGTTCCTGGTATATTTTTCAGATACTTTTTGCTTTGGCCTTCCTTTAAAGCACGCTCCTGTTTGAACATTTTCTAAAAACATCTCTTGCTGTTTTAACTTGGCTCCTAAAAATTGTGATACAGGTGTTGCCATCATAGTTCCTCGCTCACGTCTGCTGCCCACTCAATCAAAACTGATGGACTGTCCTTTGGCTGACTGAACACCGGCTTCCACCATTTTGAAAGGATTTGGATCAATATCTTATTAAATTGATATGCCTTTACCACAGCCCTCCATCCCAGCCCCATCTCTTCTGTTGCTGTTTGAACCTGAGTCTATTTGGTGCGTCTAGACACCTGATAACCTTGAAATGTTTGTGCATGTTTTGATTAAACGCTGATGCTTTTGTTTTGTTTTTCTTTATTCATGCGGAGTCAGAGAAATGTGGGCTGACATGTTTTTATTACAGAAGTGACATCCCAGATGACTCTAAAGCTGTTTTGCAGCTAATAGGACTGGATAGGAGAGCATCTCGTGTGCCCTTACTATGTGTGACTCTGATCAAGGTTTGTTTGCTGTGACATTCTGTACAGTAAATCTGGGTTCATTCAGATCATTATGGCACCAACATCAAAACACAAAAAGCTTCTGTTAGGCAAGAAAAAAGCTTCAGTGACAATATTTGAACTTATTTAATAAAAAAGAAAAAAAAGCTGTAAAAAATGTGTTCCCAAGGTTGTGTTTTTGTCAGAGCTTATGAATAATATTGTGAATTTAGCCTTCGGCAATAAAATCCTTACCCTCTCAGTGGATAATTGGACAGGGTCTGGAATGTACAAAGATGACTAAGAATAGAAGAGGAGTTTAAGTTTATTTTAGTTTTAAGTCCTGCTGCCTTCTCGGGTCCTTATCAGTTGTTTTTCCACATTAAACTAGGGGCAAAAATAAATATATTAACTTAAAAAATCAAATACAAAAAGCATTGTTATGCTTATTAGAAATCAACCTTAAAGAAATCAGTGATTAGAGTTCCATTTCTGTTTTTACAGGAATCCAATGAAAATGGGGGTTTTTAGAGAATTAATATGTACTGTTCATCTATTAGTAAGGCCAGTGTGATCCCAGTAGGATAATAAAGGACAATTTATGATCAAATATGATAACTAACTTTAGGCAAAAGTGTTTTTGTCACTTCTGAGTTCTGTATCATTTGTTTTTTAGGTGTTACCAGGTTATTTCGTAGTGTTCAATGTTAGGAATACAGTATGTGACCCGATTGTCTTTATCCCTCCTGGGGTGGTGATTTTTTTTTTAGCCCCCCTTTGTGTGTGAAATATTTTTTTTAACTATTTGACATAAATCTGCATTGAATTAGATGCATATTTGTGAGTGACATGAACACATGGGGAAAAAAACTATTATCTAGCAATTCACTCTAGAATAGAATTAATCTTTATTGTCATTCCACTGTCACAAGTACAGAGCACCGAGACTAATTCTCTGCATTTAACCCATCCCCTTGGGGAGCAGTGGGCTGCCATTGTGCAGCACCCAGGTAGCAGTGAGGGGTTAAGGGTCTTGCTCAGGGAGCCAGAGTGGCAGTGGGGGATTGAACTCACAGCCTCAGGATTCAAAGCCCTATGCCCTAACCACTAGGCCGCCACTCATAAAGAGTGTCATAGAACATAACAAACTTTGCTGAATAAAATTAGTATCTTAAACATAAGCCTGTCCTGCTTAACTTCAAACTCTAAAAATTTATATAAAATAATAAATAAATAGTGCACATTTTTGGTGCAACAGCAAACATATTTGTGCCTTAAATGCAATGACAGTAGGCTACAATTGTAAAACTGAAAAAAAAAAAAAAAATCATTAGCTAAATGCAACATTATGTGGCGATAGCCCACTTTTTCCACTTGTATTTCCTCTGAGCTCTTGCAGCGTTGAAGAGTTGTTTGTCTTTGAGAGCTGCAGAATAAAGCTGAGTAAAGCAGTTCTGTTTTCTCCTGCTATCTTCTCTGTGAACAACACTTGGCTCGACCAATGGGGTGAGAGTATTCTGGATCGTTACCCTGTAATGTATGTTGTCAGCTCATTGGTCACAACGAAGGACAGGGCCCGGGAACAAGTTTACCATAAGTTTTGTATCTAACGTGCCCTTGTTCTTCATTTTCCATTGGCTTTTTACTGACTATTTTTTTACTCTCACAGTAACACGGGACAAAGTGCATTTCTTTTCCACTAAATATGGGACAGGTCCTTCTATTTCTAAATACGGAATGATTCCATTTTTCAAGGGGCAGTTGGCAACCCTAAGTCAAATATACTTATTGTTCTGTGTATTTTAGGTTATTCTTTAGGTCAGTCCTTTACCACATAGTTTGTAGTTTCCCTTGTGTCTAGTTAAGTTCACTCTGGGCTAATTAGTCCTCCTCCCTTAGTTCCCCAGCATAGTCCTTTCCCAGCTGTTCCTCATCCCCTTTATTAGCTCATCTGATCCAATGTCATCCTCCACTCCTACAATTTATAAGCTCCCTGACTGGTTCATCCCTTTACTCTGCCTGTATTCCATGACATGTTCTCCTTGTGTGAGCTCTGTAGGTTTTCTCTTTCTATTATTAAAGCTCCACCATACTCATGCCAAGTTTATATCTGCATTGTGGTCCTGTTCTGTACATACAAAACATGACAAGAGAACAACAATCCAGTATTATACAGTATAATATAAAGCTGTGTGATATAATACAATCTGATTTTTTAAAACAATTTCATACAATTGTTTTAAATTCTGATATAATATTTGGATATAATACAATTTATTGTACCATTAAGTGTTAAGGTGTACCATTAAGTGTATTATGTGTTGCGATACAATGTTACGTGTCAAACCAAAATGGGATATGAAAGCATACAGACTGATGCAATGCAATAGAATGTGGCATTATGCAGTACAATGTAATACAAAGAACTACATTATGATACTTTTTATTTCATTTTTGTAATATATATGGTACAATGTAACTGTGGCATGATATGAATACGGTGTGTTAGGATATTATATAAAACATTTTAGTATGATATGACACAAATGATATAATGCTCATCTGATGTGATAAGATAAAGAAATATATAATTATGTTACATGCTGTAATACAATGTAATGCTTTTCTATAATACAAACAATATGATATGAAATGATGTGAAATACTATAGATAAAAATGGTATTATATAATGCTGTATGTTGTGAAGCAATGTAATACGAAATTGGTCAAAATGTATAGTATTGATGCAGTGTACTTGAGATATGCTGGTGAAGATTCTCAGTCATCCAGGTCATAGTCATTCCAAAAAAGTAAAAAAACAAACAATCCACTGGACTTGGAAACCAAGTCCTACATCCTCCGGACAGGACTCTGCTGTCCTCTTCCACCTTAAGGACAAGTGACACTCATTTGAGGACCAGAATCTTCACATTCTGGACAAAGAAGACAGGTGGTTTGAAAGGTGTGTGAAGGAAGCAATTTATAGCCATTTATGTTAGAAAGAAAACCCTAAACAGAGGGGGTGGACTCAGGTTTCAGCTCTCAAAAACAGCCAAGGCAATAATTGCCACTAACGAACCCCTTTCAGAGACATAGACTAGTATTGGGTATTGCAGGCTAACAAGGAACCCAAAACGACTCCCCAATCCTAAGGGGTGGACCCGTTCTTCTGTTTCAATTTGCTTTTTTTTTTTAAGCAAAACTATTTCTTGGGCTACTATATAAAGCCTCGAACTCTAATTCTGACATTTTGAATCGAAAAAGCTTCCTGGATGGAAAGTGAAATGTCCTCAAACTTGGAAACCAAGTCCAGTGGATTGTTTTTAAATTTTTTGGGGGGAATGTACTTGTGATATAAAATACTACATTATGATACAATGTTATACAAACTAATAAATTAATCTGATATATTGGGATACACTGTGACAAAAATTGTTATATATTATGATTCAGAAAATTTACTTTGACACAGCAATGCAACGAGATACAATGAGATAAGATGCAACACAATAAAATATATATGTTTCATTATGTAAAGTGATTCTTATTTGATAAAAGGCAACAGAAAGAGTTTTAATGCATTATAATAGAAGAAAATATGACACATTTTGTACAATGTGATGTGGTTCAATAAAATCATATGTGATAAAATATGATACACTGACATGCTGCACCATAAATATTATTATGTGATGCTATGCAAAAAGTTCTTGTTAAGCCCATTCAGACAGTTATTTATATTGTCAAAGGAAATCAGATATAATACAATGGAGGGAATTAATTAAACTTACCTCTTGAAGTTATAGCAATTAAAACCAAACAGAGGGATGTATGAATTTCCATTTTGGCTTCAGCAGTTTCCAACCCTATGGATGAACTTCCCTAAACTCCCTCTGGATTTTAGTCCTGCTGTTCAGTCATCGTAGAAGTGACCAACACTAGTAACTCCCTCATGTAGCAGCAGCTCTTTTTAGAGCAGCTTAAACAGCCAGATAGCTATGATTGTCATGTCAGTGAGCTGACTGTCCAGTTATCCTGCAGGTTCAACATGCTCATCTTTACAGTTGGTTGATTTTAAATTTTGCAGCAGGTTAAAGGAGCTAAATCATAAAAAGTAGCCCCTCTAATCCAACTCTTAAAAGTCCCTCCTCATTCGCTCAGTTCCTTAACCAAGTGTAGCTGATCCTTTTCTTCCCCACCCTCTATCTCTCCCTCACTTCCCATCTCCCGCCTCCTCAACTCGTCTCTCTCTCTCTCTCTCTCTCTCTCTCTCTCTCTCTCTCTC